GAATGATAAACTTTATAATGGTCGTAAATTGCACTAGAGTTTGGTTGGGTGATAGGCCTATGATACAAAGTTTTTTGAGAGATATTTGTTAGCATGTCTACAATCTGTGATAAGTTTGTTTCTCCTGTTTAAGGTAGCCATGGTGGACTTGCATATTATAAGGTACTTTTCCCATAAGCACAAGTTGCATCTTTTAGATGATTGGTTGAAATGCCTTTGCTTGCTTGAGAATTTTCCATTTAATAGTTTAGTCTTTGTTATTGTCTTTCAATTCCCATATATATTTGCTTAACTCGGTGTTGCATTTCTTTGTTGGGTTTCTGAATGTAGCAGTGTGGTTGTTGTACCGGGTTTGAAACGCGTTTTCCGTGAGTCCTACATATTAAGTCTGGTCTGTTTTGTTGTTAGCTGCGACTGTGGCTGTGGTAGACAACACTTTTATTTTAGGCAACAATTTAAACAACACAGCAGTAAACCAAAGATATGACCTTAATGGGCCACACCTATGATTAGTATTAATCTTCATTACCGGTATTCACTTATCAATGAACATGTCCTCACTACTCTATGTAGTTATTTATTCATTCTTATTTATTAACAATGTTACCTATTAACGTAGCCAGGATGTTCAGACACTGCGAGACAATCTAAGAATGGATCTATTGGCATAAAGGATAAACAAAAGTACAATAACATTTTAACATTTATTATTAATACGATAATAGCACGAAAAGGAAATTCAAACTACAAAGCATAATCATAATTGAATCTAAACATGTCACATCATCTCTCGTTCAAAACAAGGCAAAATACCGTACTTGCTGCATGCATTACAATGCTTTGAAAGAAATTTAAAAATGGGGTCATATAAATGTTCAACAACAATTAAACACAATACGTTATTTAGCTTAAATAATAAGCTGGATTTTGTTTGTACATTTTGTTTGCTTCAAGGTGTAACAAACGATCAGCTTAAATAGTGTTTGTTAAATTTTGTTTGCTTCAAGGGTGGTTCACGGCATATTATACTGGCCTATCTTTATTTCCCTGCACATTAAGAATATTTCATTTAGTTATGCAGTCTTGAAAGCTATATGAAGTATCAAGCCTACTTATTTCTATGGTAGATATACATTATTCATAACTGCAGGGTTTTGATAGACTGTCTATGTTGTGTGTTGATGAACGGTATGATAGCCATTCTGTAATCAAGAACCCTTCAAGTTCTATTGAAGTGACTCATAAACGTACGTTATGACGATTATCATTTCACGTATATGAATCCATGCCGATGTATAGTGTGCTTCGAATACAACCCACTAATCATATGCATTTTCATAATTCCTAAGGTGGATTAGCAACAAAGATAATGTAGTTCACTACGAACACAATGGCCTGTTCCATTATAACAAGAGGTTTCATGATTACGGCTTTATCATAGTCCAAACAGAAATTACATCTAAAAAAAAAAATCACGATAATTATCATATTGTTTTTATTGTTGCCATTATTGTTGTTCTTGTTGCTATTATTATTGTTATTATTATTATTATTATTATTATTATTATTATTATTAGGCCAAATAGGCCTATTAGTATTATTAGGCCTATTATCATTATTATCATACATCATAATCATCAAATATTCTTATTGTCAATATCATTGCTACTATTATTATTATTGTTATTATTATTATTATTATTATTATTATTATTATTATTATTATTGTATCTGGTAGACTATAGCGAAAAGGAAGCGTTCTTTATGGGATCTAGGCTGGTTGCCCAATGGACATTTGCCCCTCCGGACACTTGCCCCCGGTATTTCACCCCCACGGACATTTGCTTCTCCCGTGAAATTGACCCGACTGTTACCCCTAGGACAATTTCCCCCGGGCATTCCCCCACCCCTTATAAAACACGAATTTAAATACAAGGAATACATGAAGATTTATATCATCTCTTTTATTAAATCTTTATTAAAACAACTGCATAAGTAACAACAATATTTAAATGGTAATGTTTAAGTGAAAATAACAAACATAAAAAACATTAAGTCATTAAGTTTACTTTACAGTATTTGCATTTGCTCATTTTTAATTACTATAAATTTTTGATATGAAATTAATTATAACACATAACAATATTGAAAACATGGAGGTATAATGGTTAAACAAACGTACATGTAAACAGCTGTTACTTACATAATAATTGTAGGTAATACAAATGTTATGAATTTATCATGGTAATATTTAACAACAACAAACATTAAAAGCAATATATGAATTACATACATTAAGCCATTAGGTTTAAATTATTTGCATTCTCTCATTTTTTAGTTACTATAGTATTTATTTTTATTATCAAATTAATTATAATATCTAACAAATAACAATATTGGAAACATGGAGGGAGGGGGGGGGGGTTGTTTGTTCCATATGCCTGACAATCTAGGCTAAGGCCTAGGCTATGTTTGAACATTCGCATGTAAACAGCAACTGCAGTTATTTACATAATAATAGTAGGTAATAAACATGTTTTAAATTTAGCATGGTAATATTTAAGTAACAACAACAAACATTAAAAGCAATATATGAATTACATACATTAAGCCATTAGGTTTAAATTATTTGCATTCTCTCATTTTTTAGTTACTACAGTATTTATTTTTATTATCAAATTAATTATAATATCTAACACATAACAATATTGGAAACATGGAGGGGGGGGGGTGTTTGTTCCATATGCCTGACAATCTAGGCCTAGGCTATGTTTGAACATCCGCATGTAAACAGCAACTGCAGTTATTTACATAATAATAGCAGGTAATAAACATGTTTTACATTTAGCATGGTAATATTTAAGTAACAACAACAAACATTAAAAGCAATATATTAATTACATACATTAAGTCATTAAGCTTACTTTATTTGCATTTGCTCATTTTTACTTACTACAGCATTTATTTTTGTTATTATCAAATTAATTATAATATAACACATAACATTATTGGAAACATTGAGGTATAATGGTAAAATGGTAATGTTAACAACAACAAACATTTGAAATTAATATGAATTTCATACATTAATTATATTAATTTGATAATGAAAATAAATAGTAACTAAAAATGAGCAAATTCAAATAAAGTAAACTTAATAGCTTAATGTATGTAATTCATATTTTTTTAATGTTCGTTTTTGTTACTTAAATATTACCATTTAAATATTGTTGTTACTTGTGCAGTTGATTTAATAAATTTGCATTCTCTCATTTTTTAGTTACTATAGTATTTATTTTTATTATCAAATTAATTATAATATCTAACAAATAACAATATTGGAAACATGGAGGTGGGGGGGGGGGGGTTTGTTCCATATGCCTGACAATCTAGGCTAAGGCCTAGGCTATTTTTGAACATCCGCATGTAATAAATTCAGTATATATTTAATAAATACTCTAAATTAATTATTGCTTTAAAGCAGGTGAAGCATCAAATGGTACTATTGTAACAGAACCGTCTCCTGATGAGGTGCACCAGCCGCAAAGTGAGCATAAACACAAGAGCAAGGTAGGCATACTTAAATGAAATTTCCTGTGTAATATATTTCTTTCTCAAAAAAGTACCATATTAAAGGTAATACTCTAATCAGCACAATACAGAATACAATGGAATGCTTACGGCATTTAGCGGGTGTTAGTCTGATTCTAAGGTAAAACACTTCTGGTTTGTCGGTTCCAGTAGAGGGAGGAAAGTTTCTCCCTCGTTGTACAAACACGGTCCCTCTGTTGTTAGACGCCACTAAGAATTGGACATCGCCTAAAATGTTTATTTGCCAATTAATGTAAAACATATTGTGGTTGTAGGCCTAATGTTTGATAGTGTGGGATCAGTCTGGGCCCGGTCTGGGCGGACTAAGTACAGTACCCGACAAGGGGTCCCACATTGGGATAAATTTGTTTTTAATTTCAAAATATATACAAAATAAAGTTAGAAAAAAGTCCTATACCTATCAAAAATGACCAATCTAAAAGCGTCAGAGAGCAATGTTGTGCTAAAGAAAGGCACTTTTTACTTTTTGGAAAACATTTTCATCAGCGGTAAACAGGGGTCCCAAGTTGTAAGAAATAGGCTTCGGGAGATATAGTTAAATGAGTTTGTTAACATATTTTATCTTATTTTACTGCGCATGGTGATACCCATAGGTACAATTGATAATAAAGTAGTAAAAACAGGAAAAATATTATGAATTTGCGGGTTATTTTCAAGGGGTTTCTTGTTTGCTTGTGAGAGGCCGTCCCGATGTCCGGGAGACCGCGAATTCAGGAAAATCCTGGGACCCCTGTGTAAAAAAACCGATGATGACATAATTAATGTCGAAATATTGAATCCCGACACGATGGCGTGCATTTCGATACTTGAAGTATGTATTATACTATCTTACCTGTGTAAAAAGTGTGGTTCTTTTCAATTCTTCCTTTGTAAATTGTTAAATGTATGGGTTAAAATTAATCGATTACATTTGCAGGACAAAAAGAAGAATAGACTGCACAAGATGCCCTCAACTGGAATGGGAGACAATCAGCGTAAAAGGGGAAAACACAACAAAAGGTCAGATAAGAGAAAGCAAGGAAGGCAGGAGAGGAGGAAAGAAAGAAAACATAGAAATGAAAAGAAAATAGTGTTATGTGATGAACAAGGATCGTGTGATACAGGTAACACATACAACTCATTACAGGTCTATGTATCTTCCTGTATTCTTATATTCCAACATTAATCATTATTTCTGTCCTATCTCAATTGCATTTGAAGTTGCATTATCTGTCATGAGCTAGAAACAAATTTAAAAATTCAATTCTTAATTTTCAATTAAAAATTTTAATTTTGTTCATTAATTAACGGACAGTTAAATATACAGACCATACAAACTGGCTGATAGTGAATTTAAGGATTTTTTTTGTGTAAATCGTCTGTATGTCAGCCAAAATTGTTATTTCATGCTTCTGGTTTGGATGTTCATAACGTGTTTAACCCCTTTAAATGAGCTATTTAAACTTTTAAGTTAAATTGTATTTTTGTGAGGTATTTTTCGATTTTTTTGGCAGACAGTGTATCTACAATTTCATTTCTGTCTTCTTTTTTCAGGTCTGTGTTGTGTGATGGTAAACGGGACTCAATCCTGTAGAAATTTGACGACAACACATGGCAAGCAGTGTCACCATGATTGTCAGTGTGCTGAGGGTAGGCTTAAATACAATTTTACACATTAATGTTAACGCAATCCTATGCGTATTAGCGGTAGATTTAGTTACACAATCAGTGGTATGTTGTGCCTGTGGAAAATTTGTTGATCCATGATACTTGAGAAAAACCGAGATTTTCTAGAACGTGCTTTAGGCCTACTGATAAAAATAGAACCAGCAAATTTAAGTGAAGTTTAATTATGTTTATTGTTACGTTTATCCATCATCTTCATAATTCTCATATTATTTTACTTAATAGGAATTCACTGCGTGAAAAAGAACGTAAAACACCACAGCAAACGAGCGGGACACTGCATACCTATTGAAAATGCTGAAGAAGTGGCGGGTGAACAGACAACACCAATGACACATGGCTAATGAACGCATGATACCGTACAACGGACTCAAATGTGCCATTCAGTTAGCCCTAACTTAATATTTTGTATTGTACCCTAAATTTGCGCACCAATCCTGCTTAAAGTATACAATTATCTATTAAAAATTACTAACTTTGTTTAATGTGTACTTTATCTTAGAAACCTTAGTTTTTGTGTAGGCCTACCTTTTGTATGGCTCGAATACGCTTTGATTAATTAAATACCTACTTTTTTAGTAGGCGTTATTCCGTTTTTTCTTAATTTGCAGGCTAGGACTAATCGATATAGTGGCAATATTTTGCGTCTAAGTTAACAAGCATACGACAGGGGAAATAGTTGCCATAAACAATTAAAACTGTATTTCTCAGGCCTATAAATTATACTTGTAATGTTATTTTAGCTTAGCACATAGATAATATGATAGCGAATTTTTAACTTTTCTATTACGAAATTTATTACAAATAAATAATTATTATGTCAGACTCAGTCAAACTTGATCGGCCACCCTGATACTAATCAGGCTATGGATAATAAATAAATATTTGACTGATGCAGTAGTTAATTTCCAGGAAAATAAGATAAGTGTAATCAACTTTTTTTGAAAAATGAACATTAATGGTCGAAGCATGTGCCGAGATACTACTGTATACTTATAGCATATACAATTCAATACAAAATGGAATGTTACGTTGTATTTTGCTTTTATATAGGCCTATGTATAATTACCAAACAATAATTATATTATTTATATATAAAAAAGAATCTCTTCGGAGATCCAGTCTTGTCGCCAAACGCTTATAAGCATACGGATCTCTATTTTTCACAGTCGGAGATTCCTCTTAAACGTTCAATATATACTTTATTCGAACACTGTATTTACCTTTCTTTGATTATTTATATATGATTTAACAGTGTTAACGGCTACCTTGATTTATGTTATATATA